GAAACCTCAACCTGTTTGCTGAGAGCTGTGGTTCAGGACAACTAAGGAACCTGCCAGAGGGCCACAAAGGGAACCCACCCTCTCTCTGTCTCTCCCCCTACCCACCTCATCACTCACCCTGGGAGCCCCATGGTGAGAATACAACCTCCTGGGCACAGCTGCCTGAATGGGCTTGGAAGACCACATTCAGGGTATCAGACATGGCAGCCCAGCCCATAGTGGGTAGCCCGGCCACTCCCAGACTGCTGACCCTCAGAAACTGAGATGATAAATGTCCATTGTCCTGAGCTGCCAAGTCTGGGGCTGTTCATGATACAGCCACTGGTAACCCACCTGTACAGTTGGAAAGATGAGATGCTGTGGCCTGAACAAGGCCACCTTGGGTGGGGGTTGGGGGTAGAGCAAACAGGAGGCCCAGGGCAGGGCCTGGGCCGAGGTGAGTGGGCATTGTGTGGTCAGAACACCTTTGCCAGCTGGGCCCAAGTGGAGCCCTCTCCCAGCACCAGCACCCCTGGTCATGACTGCTGGAAACCCCCTTCCCAGTACTTTAACCCCTGGGAGTGTTGGACCCGCCCCACTGCAGAAAGCAGAGTTCTGCTCTCTTCAGACCAGCAGCTTCAGGCAATGACCCGCCAAGCAGGTGCTCCCCAAGGCCAGGTGGCCGGTGGGCTGTGCCCCTACCAGTGATCAGCAGAGGGGCATGCCCTTGGGCAGCAGGGAGGAGAGCAGGCCCCTTCCCCGGGTCCATGTCACCCCTGCTGGAGCAGCACCATCACCAAAACTGCACAGGGGCCCAGAACCCTGCAGGTCATCTGGCAACAGGAAGCACCTCCCACTTCCCGAGGGCTTCAAAGAGCCAGTAAGGGGGAGACGCTATAGGTACATGTATAAGAAATGCTGCTCAGGAGGTTTGGGGGAGCCACACAGGTCTGGGCACCTGTTGTTGGCAGAAACGAAGCTCATGACTCCGCTGGATTAGAACTGGATTTAGACAGCAAGGCCTTTAGAGATGCTAAATTATTTTTTAAAAAGAGAGCAGAGCCCAGCCAGGCATGGCTCAGTGGTTGAGAGTCGGCCTAGGATCCAGGAGATCATGGTTGGATTCCCAGTCAAGGCACATGCCTGGGTTGTGGGTTCAATCCCCAGTTGGGGGCGTGCAGGAGGCAGCTGATCAATGACGACTCACATCATTGATGTTTTTTTCTCTCTCTCTCCCTCCTTTCCTCTGAAATCAATAAAGATATATTTTTTAAAAAATAAAAAGAGAGCAGAGACCATCAGGGCCACAGTGACAACCCAAGGGCACAGTCCACATGGGAATTCTGTGAATGGAGGCCCCAGAGCAACCGCTGGGAGAGGGAAGTCTCCACTGGAATAATGCAGTTTGAGTAGGGGACACAAGGAAAGGGTATAGTGGTCACCTTTCCCATGTCGGCTAAGGCCCAGAAGCAGCCGTGGTCTCCCCTTCTTCTTGGATGTTCCTCTGTGTCTTCTCCACTCTCAGGCCAGCAGTCGGGCACTGTGCAACCAGCCACAGCCACAGGTTCTAGGTGGCATGGGACCCAAGTCAGGCCAATCCCCAAACCTGCACCTGACTCACTGAGAGAACCATTCTTTCCGCTGGACTTGACGCTGTTAGGATGCGTCCTGGAGCAGCAGGATGCGGCAATTGGAGGGCTTGGGGTGGTTAGAAGCGCAGCCTGATAAGGAAGATTGAGACCTTGGATCAAGCCATGCGTTTAAGCCATACCCCTGGCTTCTCCATTGCATGAGCTGAGGTTTCTGTTTTGATTTAAGGAAGTGTGGTTGTACTTCTGTCTCTCAGGGTTCATTTAGAGAATCAAAACCCTCTGAAAATTATGAAATACAAAATATAGTAATTTGACTTTACACAACTGTGGGAGAAGCTAGGGACTTTACACATCCAAAAGGAGAAATTGGGAAAGGGAATCACTGAGCAGTCCCCCCAGGCAGGCCGCTGTTGAGAAGAACACATGCCACAGGGAAACCCCACTGCCCATCTCTGTCTCTTCCATCTGACCAGGACGACCTTCGGGGAGTGACGGCTGCTGCTCCTCCTCTTCCACCTTCCAAAGCGCAGCCCAGTTTCTCTTTGGGACAAGTCCACCTGTAGCTACACAGGGAGTCCTGGGAAAGGAACAGCACACAACCCAAACCAGCACACTTACTGTGCAGAGTCCTCACTTTACAAATGTCACCTGAATCACCAGGACCTCAAACTAATTCACACCCAACCACCCTCTCAACCAGCCCATGTGAGCAAATCTGTGTCCTGCCCACCTCTGTGAGACCTGATATCAGCCCTTCCCCAACTTCAGCTGAGAAGAGATGTTTCCTGCCATAAGCTCAGGCCACCGGACTCAGGTGAAGCCGTCCCTGCTCCCTAGTGATTCCTGTGCTGGAAAATCACATACCCTGAATTCAAGTCCTTGACCTACGAGGTCTCCACATGTCTCCCCCTCAACCCCATCACCTAAGCAAAACCCTCCAGGCACAGCCCTCTCGCAGGGAGGCCCACCCCCTGGGCACTGTTAACGGACAGGGGGCAGACACCACTTCTCATGACTGGCAAGGCTAGAGAGCTGGGCCCCAGGCCACAGGCGTCCCTGGCATGGCTTGCTCTGAACCTGACTCGTCCCTTTGCCTGAGCCACACTAGTCCATGTAGAAGGAGGAGAGGCCATCTCAGTCAGGTGGGTCAAGCCTGGGACCAACAGCCCTAAAGCCCTCTTCCCATCAGCCACCAGCCCAGCGGCATTCATCCTGTCACATGTCTGCTCTGTCTCCCCCAGAACCAACTCCCACACATGCTTGCTTTTTTCCATCTGCCAGCAGCATCCTTATCTGCACCTTGAACAGTCTTTCCGGATGCTTCTGCACCACCTCTTGGTGCTCTCCACTGTTCTTGGCAGCCCCTGCTTTGTCCCTGTCAACTTGGCGTGGTTCCCCAGTTGGGACAGCCACAGACTCTCTGCAAGCTCATACAGCCTGGCCTGCTGGAAGCTTCCCGCCACTCTACGTGCAGCTGAGCCCAGCGTCAGTATTTTTCTTCACTCAAACCTCATTAGTGAGATAGTTCTCTGCCCGCTTGCCAGCTAAGAACTTGGAACGCGCTGCTCTGAGACGCCCTATCCTCCCAAAACTTACACTGACCCAACAACCACTCATCTCCACCTCCATTCCTCATTCTCCAGCCTCCAGGCCGTCATATTCCTGGGTTATTTCCTCCCTGTGATGGACCCACAGTGCCCCTGCAGGCCACCACCAACACCCTGGCCTTCTGTGACTGCAGCTTCCAACGCAAGAGCCGTCCTCTCCCACCAAAACCTGGGACAGGGCCCCAGGAAGCCACGGGGAAAGCCAGCGTCTGCCTGAGAGCTCTGACCCGCAGGCCAAAGCCAGGACAGGGGCCTAGTGGAAAAGAGGTCTCCGAGTTTGGTGTGGTCACCCCTAACTCATCTGACACCCCAAATGCTTGTTTTAATGTAACGTGCAGCCCAGGTAACCTTTCATTTCTAAAAGGTTTCAATACTTGCTAGGTCTCTGCTAGGGCTGGCCCCATGTCTGTGGCACCTACCTCATGTTCTTAAATGCTGAAAGGGGGCGAGAGGACATCCACACAGACAGCCCTAGGGCTGTTCTTTCTTATTTCAACAGTGTAAATGGTTGTAATTCAGGAGAGTTAAGGAAACGTCTCTCACGCTCAGGGCTGGGAGGGGAGCTGAGCTGATGGCAGGGGCTCGGGAGCGGGGTCGGGGCTGGGGCCTGGAAACTGGGGCTGGGGTTCAGGACG